ATCTACAGGCGTCTACTGCTCAAATTCACACTGTATTAGTAGATGAAGATGCCGAGGTGAGCATCTGATTTGCTCTCAGCCTCTGGGATGCCCTGGAGCACAAACACACCACAACCCAGATAGTCCATGAGTAGGGACTTTAACCTCTTCAGACACTGTGGTAGGAGAATCCCCTTCAGGACTCTATCATTGCTTCGGGATGCTTTAGGAAGGGTCACCAAAATTCCTCCCCTCCCCCACCGCAGGAGGCCAGCAACCTCAGCCCCCGTCAGTTTGATTAATGTGTCTTGGCTAATTGTGTGAAAGACAGCAAGTGTGGCCGGCCACTTGATTGTTCAGCCAATCACAGGCACCTCAGTTAGCATGTGAAAAGGGGGTGCCTTGCAGGAGGAGGCGGGTGAGTTCTGGCGGCTGAGTCAAAGGCTGAGAGTTTTAGGGGGGGCACGGAGCAACACCCACTCCTTTGAGGGGAAGTTACTATGCTCTACTAACCCTGCAAACTGTAGTCAAAGACCTTTTTCTCCTTCCTCTTTTTTTTCAAGATCTTTTTTCCCATGGTACATGCAGGCGAGACGCTGGCTACTCAGCAGATGGGGTTCACGTTCCAGGGTTTTTAATATTTCACTTTTATATTTCTGTTAGAGGGTGATCCCGCTGAGAGTCTGGGAATCCAGGCTCGTCAGAACCCCCTCACTGACACTTGGATATACGGCTCTGAAAGCCATCCCAGGAGGAAAGATTAAACAAAAAAAAAAGGGGGCCTATTTTTCAAAGCCTACTCCTCAATCTGCCCACATCAAAATAAGACAACTGGCCCTTTGAAGTGGAAGAGAGTTCTCAGCCCAGCTTGCTCAAAGTGGGGAGTGAGGAAGGACAGGAAGGAAGAAGGAAGGAGCAGAGGAGGCAGTCTCGAACATGATACACCCCTCTCACCTTCCAGATTTAATCAGGTACAAGGGGCTACAGCCCGCCACAGCCTAAAGCCCCGATCTCTCCTCAGAACTGGGAGGAAGCTGGTACTCACTGGAGTCAGCACTGGGTGATTTTTAACACTCCCATCAGAATCAGTATGGTGCCTCAAACCAGAATCCAGACAAGAATCCAGTAATGGCAGCAAGTGGGTGGAGACTGGACTGTTTATGCAAGTTCAGAGTTGCCAAGCACCTTCCATTGTGCTGGGTAAAAAGCATATTAGGAATTTAACTCAGCAGCACACTGTTTTCTAAATGCGCAAATGACTAGAATGAATATTTCTTAAAAAAAAAAAAAAAAAAAAGAGGCCTGTGAATGGCCAAGGAAAGCATTCATCAGTCATCCTCAGATAAACAAGCATCAAAACAAAGAGTTTGCATCCAATGTCAGTTTAGAACAGATGCGATCGACAAGATAAAAAGCCAGCTGGGCATGGTGACATATGCCAGTTGGGAGGCAGAGGCAGAGGGGTCACTGTGAGTATGGGGCCAGTGTAGGCTATGGAGGGAATTCCAGATCAGCCAGCTCCATAACAAGATCCTGTCCTCAAAAACTAAAAAAGCAAACCCCATACACAAACAATAATGGTGGTGGTGGTGGTGGTGGTGGTGGTGATGATGGTGATGGTGGTGATGATGATGGTAGTGGTGTTGGTGTTGTTGGTGGTGATGGTGGTGATGGTGGTGGTGATGGTGGTGGTGGTGGTGGTGGTGGTGGTGGTGGTGGTG